CTAATTTTGAAATTTTATATTTACCATTTTACATTTATACGTTTTTCCGTTTACTTTTTACATTTTTAATATTTCACACTTTTACATATGTATGTTTTACATTTCTAATTTTGAAATTTTATATTTACCATTTTACATTTATATATTTTTACAGTTTTACAGTTTTACATTCCACTGCTGCTGCTTTCCATGACAGCCGGAACCACAGAACCTGCCTGGACCCGTCCTGTGTCACTTTCTTCACACGGATAAAACGTAACTCATTTAATGGTTAAWACTAACTGAACAAATGATTATATTTTACTTTATTTAGTCTTTCTGTTGTCAGACCAGCTCAAGTATCTTGATTTAAATTGTACATTTACGCAACATAGTCAATAAAATTGCAACTGTAAAAAGATTTAAATTGACTTTTTCTCTTTTTACAGGCAATAAAACTAAAATTAAAACATTTTCTCAGAAATCAAATAAGCAACAGATGTGTTGAAAAATGCAGTTTCTTTTTAAAAATATAGTTTTCCATATTATTGTCTGTAAAAATGACCAAATGTTCTGTGATTTAGTTTAGTTTTTATTAAAGGAGTTGTTTTACTTTTGGATTAATGAAAAGATTTTGTTGTTTTACCTGCTTCTGGTTTTGGTAAAACTAAACTTGTGGTTTATTTTCTGTGACGTTCTGTTTCGTTTACTGGAAAGTTGTTCTGGCAGGTTTCCAGTGGTCTAACGTCAGGTTTGAATAGAAGATTAGGGACATGTTGGTACATCTCCTGTTTGATTCACATCTGTAGTTTTACTCTTTTGTTGCTGCTTAAACAGAAACTAATCCAGTTCTTAAGGTTTTGTAGCTGATGCAGAAGGAAGAAGAAATGTAATGTTCCCAACAACAGAACTTTCCTGAGAGCGTCTTTCTGTTCGTTATAATTTTTGGTGAAGTTGCTCTGAGAGCCTGAAAACAGTCAATAGACTAACGGTCTCTGCAGAACTTATCTTGAACGTTCAGAGATAAAAACCACATCAATCTTCCTGCAGTGACACTTTGATCAAAAGTTTCTCTTTACATTGAAACCAGGAGAATTTATTTTGTTTATAGATTAAGCACAAAAAAAAAAAACATGAACAATTTGAAATCTTGGTGAGTTGAACGTGTTGATTGCTGCTGATATGCTGAATGTTCAGGGAATTGAAAGTGTGAGGAAATCCAGGTTTTACCTAACCGGTGAAATATTTGGGATATTTGTTTATGGCTAGTATCTAATCTTTGGAGCTTACAATCAMAAAAGTGAAAATAAAGAAAGAATAACAGCCAACAAGTGAAAATCAGTTTCTGTCTTTGAAGCTGAGACCATAAGACTTTCCTTTTTGATAAGTCCTAATTAGGGTGGATTTCCCAAGGGATTATTTAGTTTTACTCCCATAGGATTGACTGCTGGAAGACAAACTGACCACAGTTTCCTCACTCTGTTGTTGTTTTTATTTTTTTCTACACTACATGTTTGTCTATGTAGATGTTTCTATCATTAACAACTTATCTTTCTTTCTAAAGTAACTACCCCTGAACTATAGATACTACTCTTGGACCTTAGAAACTACCCTTAGACCCTAAAGGCTACTTTTGAATCATAGGCACTAACCTTGGATTGTAGATACTACCACTGGACCGTCCCTCAGACCGTACCTCAGACTGTAGATTTTACTCTTGGAACGTAGATACGTCCCTCAGACTGTAGATACTACCCTTGGACCATAGACACTACCCTTGAATCGTAGATACTTCCCTTGGACCATAGATACTTTCATTGTACTGTCCCTTAGACCGTGCCTCAGACCGTACCCTTGGACCATAGATACTTCCCTCAGACTGTAGATACTACCCTTGGACCATAGATACTACCCTTGGACTGTAGATACTACCCTTGGACTGTAGATACTACCCTTGGACTGTAGATACTACCCTTGGACTGTAGATACTACCCTTGGACTATAGATACTACCCTTGGACTGTAGATAATACTCTTGGACCATAGATACTACCCTTGGACCATAGATACTACCCTTTGACTGTAGATAATACTCTTGGACCATAGATACAACCTTGGACCATAGATACTACCCTTGGACCATAGATACTACCCTTGGACAGTACTTCCCTCGGGCTGTAGATACTACCCTTGGACCGTAGATACCCTTGGACTGTAGATAATACCCTTGGACCATATATACTACTCTTGGACCGTAGATACTATCCTTATGGATTGGGTGATATTTGTCACCCCCATTGTTATATTGTTGCGTCTCTCCACAAACCCTTTGGTGTGCACCGTTAACATTTTTTTAATTTTTTTAATGAAAGTTTAAAATAAAACTTAAAATCCTCTTGAAAATGGCCAACCGGTCTAAAGCCAAACTCCATTCAGGTTTTATACAGAATATTTGTTATTGATAGAACTTCAGCAKGACAAGCTTCAATAAACTAAGTCATGATAAAGATCTTCTTAATTATTAAAATCAACTGTAAAGCAAACTAAAGTAGACTGTGTTCATCAGCAGGTTTGTCAAATGATCATAAATATGACAACAACATAAATCTCCTGAAATTAGGTACTAGTTTTTGGTGTTGGTACCGCCCCAGGTTCCGTTTTACTCAAACTAGTCTAAAGGCACCCCGGACCAGGATCTACATCTCTCAGGAGTGGAGTGTTTGAAAACGGCCCCATCAGGACTTTCTCCCTAAAAAAGTACTTTTTTTTCTTATTGATGCCAAAAATTGTTATTTAAAATATATATTTTGTAAATGTTGTATGCTTTGATTCCTTCTCTGGTTGTTGTATTTTGATTCTTCCTCCTCCCTATGATCTCAGGCTGCAGCTGATTGGCTGCAGCTCTGCTCTGATTGTAGAAACTCAAGCTCCTTCATCACTCAAACTGCACCTCTGCACCGGACTGACTGCACCTCTGCTTCTCCTCACGCTCCAAGAAAAACAAGGAAAAATGGGGAAAATTAACGGTTGCCTCAAATGTGTTTTCATCTTCTTCAACGTGTTGTTTGCGGTAAGAAAAAATTGTTTACTTTTCTTACTTTTCCTAACTTTGTTGTGAAAAAGAGCAAAAAAACTGTCAATTAAAATTTATTTTAAAGCAAGTGAAGGTTTGATAATCATTTCTCAAAGTCAAAATAAGGTGTAAAAGTAAAAATAAAATAATTTTATTTATTTATTTAACTTTTGTTAATCTTCAGTTTTTATTAAACATAATGAAATAATAGAAAATAAACAGTGTAGTTAATTTGCAAAGATTATTCAACTTTTCTGCTCTGAATTAATKTATTTGTTTTGCAGCAATAAACATTTGTTTTTAATTTTTTTAAAACAAAAGTAAAATCTCAACATATTAAGGTTTTACATAATTTTACAGTATTTAAAGCATTAAAAATCATATTTAAAAGTATAAAACTGTTTCTGGCACAGTAATTTATTCCAGACTTTGTTGAGTAAACATCCTTTTCCAGTAAAAAGGTTTTTTCTTTGAGCTGAACTCCTCCTACAGCTAAAACTGTGATGGGAGGAGACAAGAAGACGAAAAATCTGTTGATGTAAAAAAACAAGGTGTGGTTTAAAGAGGAGAAGCTTTTCTGTCTGAACAAAATGTACAAAACATCAAAATGATTAGTTGAGAAGCTTAATTTGAATTTTTTTAATTAAAGCTCATTTTGGTCAAACAAAACACTTAGAGTTGTTTTGTGAAAATGATCTCTGACAGTTAAAGCTGAGCAGGAGGGTGTGGAGGAGCAGCATCACCTCCTGCAGGAGGTTCAGTTTGTGGCTCTCTGTCTCTCCCTGCTGCCTCACAGCTGAAACTACACCATTAATTTATTAAAATGGTGACCCGCGGGCTGGGAGGGGTCTTCTGACATCTTTYTGTTTAGGTTTCCTGAAACTGATTCAGTTTATATTAATATGAGATTAAATCTACCAACACGGTTAATTAAATACAAAATAAAACTGAGTTAATTTAGATTTTATATCTGCACAGAAATAGTTTTGATACATATAAAGATGCATCAAAACTAGAAGTAGATATATTTCTATAATTAAAATAATTATATAATTAATATAACTTCTATGATACAGTTGTTTCAAGCATCATGTTTCTGTTGGTTTAATGTTTTCAACCTGATGCTTTTATTTTGTCCAGTAAAAATGAATGACTGACTTCCTGTCTGCAGCTCATCGGGTGTTTGATGATATTTGGGGCAGTGAAGAGCACCGCCTCCGCCGTCCAGGTAAACGACCGCTGGATCCACTTCCTGTTTCCATAAACAACATTTTTGGTTTCAGACTTTTCAAACCTAACTGATCCTGATCCTGGTCCAGGACCTGGTTTGACCTGTTTCATGAACACCAAGTCAGGTTCGGGTCTTGAAAAGACTCTGAGGTTGATGGATTACGATCTGATTTCAGTAACGGATTGTTTTTCCAAACAGATGTCCTCGTTCGGAGGTCCTGGTGTCGGGTGGATCTGGGTGACCGCCATCGGCGTCTTCGGCATCTCCTGTCTGGGGATCTATGCTGCCTGCTCCGAGAATCTCCTGGCCCTGAAAATAGTCCGTACAACCTCTGCCGTTGTCTGTTTGTTGCGYTCCTTTCTTTTTCAACAAAACAAACCCTGATGCTGATTATTCGTGTTGTTTCATGTGCAGTTTGCAGGGTTCATGGGCGTTGGAATGATCATCATGCTGATCTTTGGCATCATCGTGGCGGTTTACAGAAACAAGGTAATCCACATGGACTCATGAGGCAGGGACACGTTAGCATGTGACGCTAACATTTACTGTGGTTAAGATGAACACGTGTCTGGATCTATTCATTTACGTGTTTGCTACGACTTTTTACTTTAAAAAGACACATTTAATCTCAATGCTAACACATCTCAATGCTAATTAGTGTTAGCATCATGCTAATTATGAGCTTGTTCTTGCTAACCCCTAGTTGAAATCTAACAAGTCATTAGCCTAAACATGCTAGTTTTTAGCCTCAGCATGCTAACATCTGATTGGAGTAAAAATTGCCAAACTTACATTTAAAAACTAATTTTTCGGTCTGCGATAAATTTCCAAAGTTCACTGTGAAAAAACATATTTCACTGTGAAAAAAATAACTCGGCCCTTGCAATGAATCCTAGGATATTGTCGGTGTAAGATACTCAGACACAGCCTACWTTTTCAAGGTTTTGTCGGCCRCATGAGTAGGCCCCTACGGATTGGGACAGCCTACAGTGGCAGTGACGGAACGACCGGCGTTGGCTGCAACCCACAAACTGAGACACAACCGATGTTAAAGAGTCTAATCTAGTAGGTCGTTAGCCTAAACATGCTAGCTTTTAGCCTCAGCATGCTAACATCTATAAAAGCCAGTTGACCATCGATGCTGAGCTGTGTTAGGCTACAAATTCCATCGGTCTTTAACGTGGTGCGATCATCTCGTCCTGAAAAACATCTCTACAAGTCCAACTATGAGTTCAGAACAAATTAAACAAAATATTGTTTGTTTCATGATAGAGCTTTCTTGACAATGATTGTAAACAGGAAGTGAAGGATGTTTTGAACTTGTTCTGTCTTCTTTTTTAGGTGAAAGAAGGTATCAAAAGTGCCTCCCATGAGTTTGCCGAGGAGTACATGAAAAACGACGACTTCAAGGCTTTGATCARTGCCTTACAAGAACCTGTAAGACTTTTAAGATACCAGTCAGCCTTTAAAACTCACTCGTAGTACAGRGGTCTGCATGAGACACCAATGCACCACCATACCATCAGAGAGGCAGGCTTTTGAACTGTGCRTTCCATTGTGAATAAAGTTTGAAATGTGCAAATCATTGCAATCCAAACAACATCCTTGTTTCTTAAAGCACGTATTGCTCTAGATGTTTATTTAATGAATACTATATTTTATAAATAAATAAATATCTCGTTTAATTTTAGTTCCAGTGCTGTGGACTGACGAGCTCTGAGGACTGGGGTGAAACCATTCCTGACTCCTGTGAATGCAAGCAATCATTCAGCTGTAAACCCAAGCCAACGGTGAGTTAAAGTTAAATAAGTTTATTCATACGTTGTCAAAGTTTTCTACATTAAAATATAAAACTATAAAACCTGTTTCAGCTGCAGTTCTTACATTGTGTCCTTGTTTTCCTGCAGGGTTACTCAGGCCCATCCAGTATCTACTCAAAGGTAATAAATCAATCAAACATCCTCCAGTCATGTTTCCACATCATGACCTCGTTTTTGTTTTTCTGCAGACCTGCGGTGATATCCTCTTCGACACAGTCGACCTGGTCTTCAARGTGGCCATGGGCCTTTATTTTGGATTTTCTGTTACTGCAGTAAGTTCTACTAATATTCTCTGTTGTCTCTAAATTGATGAGATCAAACAGTGTAACTGAAAATAATTATTAAATCTGATCAGTGCTGTATCCTGTGTTAGCACGATTAGCACAGTTAGCATCAGTAACAGAGTGTCCTGTGTTAGCACGATTAGCACAGTTAGCATCAGTAACAGAGTGTCCTGTGTTAGCACGATTAGCACAGATAGCATCAGTAACTGATGATGTTTGTTTCGCAGCTGTTCGGCCTGCTCTTCACGCTCCTCATGATCCGTCAGGTGTCGCGCCACGACAGCGCAGGAGGACCGTCGATGGCCATGAAAGGCTACTAAAGTTAGCTCCGCCTCTGACGTCTGAACTTTAACTTCTGTAACATTAACGAGACGTCTCATTGGTGAACCTTTAATTCAATTCTACAGGAACCATATGGTATGCTTCAAGAATATTATTTGTGACAAAAGGCTCTTTTTATTTTTGTATTAATGAAAATATTCCTATAAACAAATAATTTGTTGTAAATTTTTCTGTTTTGTGCTGAAATGTGGTGTTTTAATGTTTTAATGTCAGACAGGCTGATTTAACCTGAGGAGGTCAGAGGAGAGACCAAACATACAAACTTTACAGATAAAATGTAAACATTTGGACAGATTTAGGATTGTGAACCTCCTGGAGTTGAATGTGTTTAAGATGGATTAAACATGTAGAACAGTCTCAGGTCTCCAGACTTTAAATGACCAACATGAATAAAACAAACACTGTTACATAAACTGTTCTGTTGTAAAACCTGCATCTGTACCATTCCACAATAAATAATATCGGGCGAATAAACGAATAAACATCTGAACCCTTCATATCTTTGTTTCTCTTACTCTGACCAGAGTTGAGTTATCGCAGAAACTTTATGGATATTTATTTTTGTTCTAACTGGAATCGTCCTTCAGGGTTTCTACAGTTCCAGAAAATACAGAAAAACATGGAAKTCTTTTCATTTTCCAAGTTTAAATTAGTTTAGGGCTAAATAAAGGAGCGAAAAAGCTTTTGTTGTCAGGATTTTACTTTAACAACCAACCAAACAACCAATCAAACAACCAACCAACCAACCAATAAAATGACCAATCAAACAACTGACAAACTAAACTACGAATAAACCAATGAATCAACCAAACAATCAACCAAACAAACAATTAGTCAAACAACCAAATAACCAACCAACCAGCCAACCAACCAACCAACCAACCGGATAACCAAACAGCCAATCAATCAAACAACCAATCAACTAATCAGTCAAACAACCAACCAAATAACCAACCAATTAAACAACGAAACAACCAACCAATTAAACAACCAAGCAACCAGCTAAACAACCAATCAATCAATTAAACAACGAAACAACCACCAACTAATCAAACAACCAACCAAATAACCAACCAATCAACCAATTCAATAACAAAATAACCAACCAAACAACCAACCAATTAAACAACCAAGCAACCAACTAAACAACCAATCAACCAATTAAACAACGAAACAACCAACCAATTAATCAAACAACCAACCAAATAACCAACCAATCAACCAATTCAACAACCAAATAACCAACCAAACAACCAATTAAACAACTAAACAACCAATTAAACAACCAAACAACCAACCAAACAAGCAATCAACCAACCAGATA